ACACATGCTCCAGTTTTAAAAAAATTTCTGAATCTTGGGCAACTGTTCTCTTGTAACTACTTTACAGTTTCTAAAAGCAGTTATTGTCCAAAGCTGGAAGAACTTAAGTCTTCTCAGATGAGCATGTGAATGAATGGAGGGAGGTAAACAAAAAATAAAATTAAAAAAAGATGAGGTCTGATAGGGGAGCAGCGGATAAGAAAATCAAAAAAGGAACAGTAATTTAAAGTTTATTCCAGCTATAATGCAGGTTATTCTGACTTTAAGGTAGCATCACATGGCATACTTCTGAGTCCATTCCCGAGATATTCTGTTGTACCTGTAAAATAAATATTTTTTTTTTTTTAAGGTAAAAGAAGTATTTTCCCTACCTTTAAAATATTAACAATTTACCTGTGGGTTCACCTTAAGGCATTGTATTGCCTATGAGTAGAATAAAAGGCAACAAAGGTTAGGTATAGCAGCACTGGTAATGCAAAGCAGTGTAGGCGGCAAGTGCCAGGAAAGCCGTATTTTAGTGAATACAAGTGGCACTGAGGTTAGGGGACTAACAAAGGACCTCTTCTCTCCACCATCAATGAGCTACTTCCAAAAACTGAAATTAGTTGTACATTCAGACAAAATTTAAGTATTTTGCAATTTATCACTGATCAGAGTAGCAGCCAGAAGTATGCACACATGGTCACTGAGGAGTTATATCTGAATCCTAGACTTTGGGAAGTTAGGTGCCTTTGCATATTACCAGAGAGAAAATGCCTTTGAGACTTAGGCAGAAGAGTTAGATGAGTTGCTGTGCTAATCAGACCATGTTTTACTTTTAAACAAAAGTGCAGCAGCAGTGACTGACATTTCTAAGCCCCACTGATACCCACTGAAAAACGGGAAAATCCAAGGTATAACAACTACCACATCTTTAAAGCACACATACCTACCAGAGAGGCTACGAATCTGACAAAAACTTAAGGCGTGCACAGCAAAGGGCAGGGGGATACTAAATTTAAACTTAACACAAAAAACAAAACGAACTAAATATAGTTCAATTATTTTTCTGAACTTTAACATATAAACCTATTTTTAAAAAAGCCAAGTCAGAGTTAATGTCATTTAGGACGCCCTCTTCAAAAAGCCAGCAGTTTAAAACAAAGGCTTTATATAGCATACAAAGAGCCATAAAATATAGCTGACATTAATGCATGCTTATCAGCAATGAACATTTTGTTTAGATGCTGAGGCTAAAGTGTCTTCCCCTTATACTACCTACTACACCTCCTGATAAAATCTGGGTAAAAACCACCACATTCCACATAGTATTGACAGCTTCAAGCTACATTTTAAACACCATGGTAATTCATTCAATAAAGGACAAATATATTCTTTAATTTCTACTTCTTTATAGTGCTATATAACTGCTTTGCCATGCAAAAATAATCTCAAGCAGTAATGACTATGTATTTTCACACTAAACAGAGATTAAGCAGTTAAATATAGTCTTCAGAAAACTGCCATATCTGTTACCTTTTGTTAGTTAGTACAGTGCTTTAAAGCATGCAGCACTCAAGTGCTGGCAGTACCATAAAGTAAGCGCACCATGAAGTGCAGATCCTCTTACCCTACAACATAGCGTATTTCTCTGTCCACTCTCTTGCTAACCTATTGTACCTAATTGAACAAGTACACTTAGCATTAATTATATCATTGAAAGTTGAATAGTTAACCTGAACATACATAATATCTGATTTAGACCAAAATTTTTATATTATGTTGACAAATGTACTTAGGATGAAGAAAAAGTGCTTTATTTTCCCAAACTCAAGAATTAAGTAACTATGTTTAACACATTAGGGAGAAAACATTTCTTAGGGACTAGTCACTGTGCTATAAACCAAATCCTTTTATTTCTTTATTAGACAGGGGTTTTGCTATGTAGCCCAGGCTGGCCTCAAACTTCGAATCCTCCAGCCTATGTTTCTTGAGTGCTGGCATGTGCCATCATGCCTGGTCCTTAGTGCTTAAATCATCTTTGAATAACTAGCTTACCGAAAACAAGCATAAAATCTTCCTGGCATAGTCACAACTTATAGCAGAAATAAGTCCAACAACTCATTAAATAAAATTATTTTTATAGTTTTTTGTTGTTGTTGTTAAACCACTGCATACTTACTTATCTCTGTCTGTTTTATAGATCCGTGCAATCTCTGGCACTAGGGGGTCATCGGGGTTTGGATCACATAGCAGTGAACAAATGGATAAAAGAACTACAAGAAAACAAATGTTATCCAGCTTCAGATGTTTGAACTTAACATGTTTTAGAGACCTCAAGCCATGAGTTTTATTATCATCTCAACAACAAATTTTAAACAGATAAATAAGGATAAAAATGAGCTTTGCTGGCCCCAAAGTCACTGCCAAATTCACAAGTTTCTAAGGTATTAGTCAAATGATGGCTTTAATCAGTATTTCCAGTAAGTGCTATCAGGCTCTCTGTGTGTCTCTGTGCGACTGGGTCTCCCTGTAGCTTCAACTGGCCTCAAACTCAAGAGATCCACCTGCTCCCGCCTCCCAAGCGCTGGGATTAAAGCATGTGCTACCACGCTCAGCTCAGTATCAGAATTTGATACTGCTAACAATCACCTGTAACTCCAATTCCAAGGGACTCCCTCCTCTGGCCTCCATGGGCTTACATGCACATTGTGATCAACATACATGCAAAATACCCAACACTCAACACACACACACACACACACACACACACACACACACACACACACACACACACACACAAAATCACCATGCTAAAAAAAGGCAAGTTAAGCCAGGTGTGGTGGCAAACCTTTAAACCTAGAACTCAGGAAGCAGATCTCTGTTACATCAAAACTAGCCTGGTCCACAGTTGCAGGTCAGCTTGGGCTACAGGGAGAAACTGTCTCAAACCCCACCCCTACCTCCACCCCAAAACACAAGAAGTGTTTCTGACAATCACTGAAGAAAAACAAAGCACCATAAAAAAGACATTTAACTGTCATATCTGCAAAATATCTGTCAACAGCAGCAAATACCATTCCAAACCCGAATGAGTGGGGTGGAAGTGAACACATAAAATGGCAGAAACTGACAGAAGGGAGGAGGATGAAGTTTAAAATTGTGACTGCTAGTTTAACAAGCAGAATCTAAGTGGAGAGGTGGCTCACCAATTAAAGAGTACTTCCTGCTCTTGCAGAGGACTGAAGCTGGGTTACCAGCACCCACATGGTGGCTCACAATAGCCTGTTATTTCTGGTTCTAGGAGGATCCAACATCCTTTCCAGGCCTTGACAGGCAACTTCATTCAAATGGACAAAGCCACAGGCACACATGCAGGCACATAATTAAAAATGAACCTTTAAAAAAATTAAAAACTTAACACTGAGCCATCTCTCCAGCCCCTAAAATAAATCTTAAAAGACAAAAATCCCACCATCAACTCAACCTGCATTTGAAGAAATAAAATGTAAAATTATGAGGTATAGGGGCTGGAGAGATGGCTCAATGGTTAAGAGCCCTGGCTGTTCTTGCAGAGGACCTGGGTTTGATTCCCAGCACTCATGCGGCTAACAACCTTCTGTAACTCCAGTTCCAGGAGATCCAACACCTTTTCTGACCCCCATGGGCATTGCATGACACGGATGCACTTACATACACACAGGCAATATAAGTATTTAAAAATGGAAAACACTACCATCCCTCTGGCATCAAAGGCACTGTGACAAGTGTATGAAGGACTGTGATGTGCTGCTTTTATGCGATAGCACACACCTGCCTGCTTTACTTATTCTGTATTCATACATTCAAATATTATAAAATACTTTAGTAAAATAGTTATTCCAAATTTTGGAAATGCTACACTTCAGCATGGAGCCTGAAAAGAATTCTTAAAGTTGCTACTGTCAAATATCCATAAAAAATGCATTAAAAAAATCTAACCCTAAGCTAAGAAATACCAAGCCAATACCCAAATCTACCAATTATTAAAAGGCAAACTCTTATTAATGTTTTGTGTGCAATTTTATTTGTGGTGTAATGTCAAAAACTACTAGTTATTTAGAAAGCAGAAACTGAAGAGCTGTCTCCACTTGGGACACTCCTAAAGCTCTGACAACCTGACACATTACTATTTAATTCCAGTGTCATTATTAGACCGGAACAACTACAATGGTTAAATAACACCTGTGCACTAAAGATATGTTCAAAAAGAGACACAAAACAGAAATGTGCTAGCATAGTATTGTCGAAATTTTAAAGCTATCAAGTCTAGGTTATAGTGTACCATTCTTGCTAAAAAGGCAGTGGAAGGGGGATAGAGGGATGGTCAGACCTTGCACACATGCATATTTAATTAAAAATGGATCTTAGGATAAAAAAACGGCACCGAGTACGAGGCACATAAATGCTTTATATTGAAAGAAGTTATTGAAAATTAATTTTATGGACTGGGACAACAATGGCTCAGGGTAAGAGCTGTGCAAGCATGACTGGGGTTCAAATCCCCAGCGCCCATATAGAAAATTTTGTGTGCCTATAACCCAGCATTGGTGGCAGATACAGGCAATTTCTGAGAACTGTTCATAAATACAACTGGGCTTGTCTTTTTCGTCTTTTTGAGACAGGGTCTCCCTGTAGCCCCAGCTGGCTTTGTTTTCACAGAGTTCTACCTGCTCCTGCCTCCCCAAGGCTGGGGGTTAAAGGTGTGTGCCACCACACCCAGCTTCAAAGCTTCAGTTTTAATGGAATAGGTGGAGAACAATAGAGCAAGTCACTGAAGGGTCCTCCCCTGGTCTTTGCATGCAGGATATACACTCACACCAACCCCCACATTATGTAATGAGTATTCATTGGGCAATAACGTCCTCCCCAAGCCAGCTTAACTTCTGACAAAATCCCTTTAAAGAATTTTTACTGCTAAGAGTAAAATTAAACAAAAAAGAGAAACATTAAAAAAAAAAAAAAAAAAATAAAAAAAAAAAAAAAAAAAGTCTTATGGTATCCCAGTCTGGCTTTAAACTTAATCTCCACACAGCCAAGGACGACCTTCAAAGTGCTATGACTATAGAATGTGCCACAACACTGTTTATGTAGCACTGAGGAAAGACAAGCCAGGGCTGTACGCATATGAAGGCAAGCACTGACAACTGAGCCACAGCCCCAGACCTATAAGCAACTTAAATTTTTATTTTTATTTTATGTGTGAGTGTTTTGCTTGCATGCAAGTGAACCATATGTGTGCCTGGTGCCTGTGGAGGCCAGAAGAGGGCATCAGATCCCCTGGAACTGGAATTGAGGACAGGTGTTAGCTGCTTTGTGGGCACAGGGAACCAAACCCAGGTCCTCTGGAAGAATAGCCAGTGCTCTTAACTCTTCAGCCCCATAAGCAACTTCTTATTTCAAGTAGATTCAAGGAAGAAGTCCCTTTAAGTATTAGAAAGTCATAATAGCTGAAAACGATTTCAAAGTATTTTACCTTTAGAAATAGTTAAAGCAGGAGACCACTGTGATCTTAGAATATCAAGACAAATGCTGCCATTACTGTTAATATTTGGGTGATAAATTTTTGTTGTAAATGCAACCTAAAAAAAAAAAAAAACAAAAATAACCATTAGTTTTCCCAAATACAAGAAGTACCTTACACTTCAGCAGGACACTTTAAAAGCAAGGCTTAAAATCATTCAGAGTGAAAGGTCATTAAGAAAAAAAAAAAGGAAGTATATACCCATCAACACAAATTTTAATACAAACCAATCACCTTAGTGCATCAACAACTTAAAGCAACATACTCAGAATTTACCTGATTGCAACACATTTTGCAATACAAAATTTGAGCCTTTCAACTTGAAAAACAGGGCAAAATATTACCCCATTTACAAAGTTTAAAACTGTGTCTAACTCCTAAAGTAGCAACTACCTTCTATATATTAAGTTGTTTTTATTCAGCATATAAAACTGTGATGGTTTGAATGAGACTGTCCCCCATAATTTCCAAGCAGCTGGACATTTTGTTCCCAGCTGTTGGTGCCGTTTTGGGAGGTTTTAGAAGGGATGGCCATAATGAAGGAAGCTGGTCACTGGAGGCGGGCTTTCGGAGTTCTTTAGCCTTACCAGATTTCCAGTTGCACTCTGCTTTCTGTGCCTGCTTAAAGATGTAATTGCTTGTGTGGTTTTTTTTTTTTTTTTTTTGCCCAGGCTACCTCTTCTGCCATGCCTCCCGGACATGATGAATTCTAACCCCCTGGAACTATAAGCTAAATAAATTCTTCTTTAACTTTCTTAGGCCAGTGTTTTCATCAGAGCAACAGAGAAGCAATTAATACTTTTCTTAAATCACACCAAACCCCAAAAATCTAAGAATGATGTATTCTGAAACAATCCATAAACTACTAACAGTTTTGAAGTAAAATACTTGCCTTAGGTGGTTTGAAGGGGTAGTCTGTAGGAAAATGAATTGTCAAAAAGAATACACCACCTTGATATGGGCTGTCATTCTGTGAAAAGAAAATTATGCCTAATATTTGAAAATTGCTTTTAAAAAAAAACCCAAACATTTCTAATAAAGAACCAAAATTACCTACTATTTACACTGTAATGAAGAAACCAAATTACTTCGAAAATTCAGTTCACTAATGGAAAAAACCCACTAAATTTATTAAAGTAATGAATGCTCTTTAGATGGATTCAATTTTACACATTAAAAGTTTTGATGGAAAATAAAACAAAAACAAAACCAAAAAACCCCCAAAACACAAGAGTCCTAAATCTAAATCCTCAAAAGTGAAAAAGATTGGTGAGACGGCTAAGGCACCTGCAGCAATGGCCAGGAAACCTGAGCTTGCTCTTTTGAAATACACGTAAAGGAGGAGGTGAGAATTGACTTCACAAAGTTGTTCCCTGACACACCTCCACATTATCTGCTATGCCACATGCATGTTCACATACACACACAACATTTATAAAAAAGAAAAAAGCCAACAGGCACCATTACGTATCAGTCAACCTATTAATCCAAAAGCAAAATATTACATGTGGAAGTGTTCTGATAAAAACCACATTATGTTGAGGCTGGAGAGATGGCTCAGCGGTTAAGAACACTGTTCTTGCAGAAGAACCCGGGTTCGAATCCCAGCACCCACATGGCAGCTAATAGCTGTCTGTAACTCCAGTTCCAGGGGATCCAACAGCCTCTTCTGTCCTCTGCAGGCATTACATAACACGGGTGCACTTACCTACATGCAAGCAATACACACATACACAAAAAATATTTTTTAAAAACCCCAAAACCCCTACATGTTGGAAATGGCTTTCCAACTCAAGTCATTCCTCTCAACAGCATTAACAAAAATGTTAAGCTATTTCAATATAAAAATACCTCCAAGAGGCAGAACATTTAGTGTAAATGGATTTCTCAAAAACCCTTGTACAAAACCAAGAAAATGTTCTGAATTTAACATAATGAATTGAGAACTACAAGGCCAACAGGCGGAAAACACTATCTTTTTCTTCTTTTGCATGTCTGTTCATTACAATGTGAGCATAAATTCCCTAAGTAGTTAACTATGTTAATATAAACTGACATTTGACAAGTGCTGAGTTTTTCAATTTAACACCAGGAAATTCATTTAATTACCCCACTGTATATCAGGTATGTGAAAGGGACCTAGAGAACTTCTTTAAAAAAAAAAAAAAAGTCTTGATGAACTCAACTCTGATACTCATAAAATAAATGCAGTATTTCAGATATGAGACACGAATTAAGATTATCACAGAAGGCTGAAAGAAATATACAAGTAGTAACTGGAGAACTATTTGATCCCTACATTTTGATTTGGTTTCATTGTGCTAGAGATTCAACACAAGGCCTTGTGCATGTTAAGCAGGCACAGGCACTTGACCTCCAAGCACAGAATTTTGTTTTACTCCTAAGACTGCAAAGCAGCACACTGTATAAGAAAAATAAAAAGGGTGTATCTTAAGTTTTCATTTCTAAGTTTCCTGTAATTACACGTTGTTTGACTGCTTCTGAATAAAAACCATCCACAGGGCCGGTGAGATGGTTCATCAGGTAAACGGGCTTTACTGCCAAGCCTGATGCTGAAGGAATGGTGGAAGGAGACAGCCAACTTCCACTCGCTGCTCCGGTTCCACATGAGCACTGTGGCATGCCCACACATAGACATAAATAAGTGTAATTAAAAAAAAAAAAACAACACTCCACTGCTGAAATATAAGGATGTTCAAACATTTTTTTAATAAAACAAAAAAGAAAAGAAAGAACTTAAGGGGCAAAGGAAATACTAACATTACACTAAAACTACCAAATAAAACTAAAGGAGTCAGGAGATACAAACTTGTATTTTAAAAATTGAGACAAACCACAGAAAACTCAAACCAAAGGAACAAATGTAATGACCAGTGCTACAAACTGACTTCAACCTTAGAAATTCAGAATTTGTATGTGAGCTCTTTAGAATCTTTCAACCCCAGTTGTTCCCTCAGAATTTGTTCTCTATAATATCCATAAAATTCTACTATGCCTACAGATGGATCCACTTTCTCCTAATCCATGAGCCCACAAACACTTTAGACTCAACTCCCCCACCCCCCACCCCAGCGTTTCTTCACTCCCGGGCAGAAATTCAAATGCCTACTAAATTATACTTGTGTATTTCATGATATCCCGTTCTTCCTCAACCACGTCTTAAACCAGGATCTCATTGCTGATTGTTATACTCTTACCTGACTCAATTTGAAAGAACTAGATATTGTGGCTCATGCTTGTCACCCCAGCACTTGGAAGGCTGGGTTCCAGGGCCAGTCTTGGTTAGAGTGGATGAGACCTTCTCTCCACACACCAAAAAAAGAACTTTATAATTTCTTGAATTTGCTGCATCTTTATCGCCACTGTTGTCGTTCAAGATTTAACTATCTTCTGCCTATATTAATTATGGCAATGTCTTATAATGAAATGGATACATTTTCCTTTTATCCTAGCTTTACTTTCCAATTTATTCCTCTATACTAAAGCAGAAGTGATCTTTTTAAGAGACATCAGTGTACTCTTTGCTTTAAATTTACTAGTCTTTATTCTCTATAGAACATGAGCGTTATGTTAACTCGATTTTCACATTTCTAGCTTCTGTTTCTTCTATTTCAAACATCAATTTGCTGGCTGTCCCTCTTGGTGCTTGTTAGTAGTGAACCCACCATGCTGATATTTAATTAATATTTTCCTCTTCCATGGGACTACAACTTCTAAAAATGTTGAGGAGGGAAACTTTTTAGAGATTAACCTTTATAAGATTATACAATACATTTAAAATGGAAAGAAATAACCCTTATGGACTGATTATTTTTTTCTGTAATTGATTCTGCTCAGTCATTCACACATACAGCTCTCTTCTATACTTAATGCCACAGAGTAAGGTGGAAGTTACTGTCATTTCCAAATCATTTCAACATTGTTTTCTAATTAAGCGTGGTAAATATCAAAAGCAATAGGTAAGGAACTTATTTCTTCTGATTATATGAACTGTTACTGCAAACTATGTTGCATATATTAAATCTCTCCTCATTTAGTTAACTAGAAATCCTATCTATTCTTAGCTCCAAAGTATTTTTATCCTCAGAAAAATATAAGCCAATACATATATCAAACTCAAAACATTTCTGTGGGAAGCTCCAATAATTAAGAACATTTCCTGACTATATCTCAATAAAATTCAATAGTTGCTCTTTACTGAAACTAAAGATGTATTTTTCACAAGATCAGGAATCTTTACTTCTGGTGACACAATCATCATGTTAGGTGACCTAAGAAATACTCAACAGCAAAGCTTTTTTTTTTTTTTTTTTTTAAGTATCCAATTGTCCTGATCAATACGTAACTTAGGGGATGTGATGGTGTCACTGCCCCCGGTGAAGTTTAACTGCAGTTTCACAAAAATACTTTCATAAACCAAATATGAACATAACAGACATACTGTTAACTATTTAAAGTAGGTGCTTAAATTTGTTTATAGAGACAAAAATCAAAACTGGTACTTTCATGTACATTTTTAGAGCCTGTGACTTACCTAATATTAGTTATCTCAACAATGAGAATTAACTTTTTTTAGATTAACTGTTCTCAAATTAACTCTTCAAATGTGGTACGTCAATTTTTTACTTTTATTAATCAGGAAATAAATAGCTCTGAAATCAATTATTTCTGTTCTAAAAGCATAACTGCTGGTCACCTATATTAAAAGTTTGCTAAAAATGTTAATAATTTACCAGAAACAAGTATGCAATAAAGGAAAACTAATTTCTTCCCTGGTGTGATCTCTCACTTGGGAGGAGGCTGGAAGATCAGGAGTTCAAGGCTAGTTTGGACTATATGACAACCTGCCTACAATAAAAATATCTTTCTAAAAATAAAAGCAAACTATGCTGAGTATGGTAGCTCATACCTATAACCCCAGCACTGGGGAAGCTGAGGAGAGTCTGAGGCCAGTTAGGACTATACAGACAGCATGAGACCCTATCTCAAAAAACCAAAACAAAAAATAAAAGGAAATTTGTCAGGACAAGCAGCTTCCTATTATCTAGAAAACTACTAAGAGATTTCATTTATCATTCACTATGATTTACAGTATGATTACCTTTTGGAAAGCTAGTGTATTCAAAATAGCAAAGTCAATCCGGGTGCGGTGGTGAATGCCTTTAATCCCAGCACTCGGGAGGCAGAGGCAAGCAGATCTCCAGAGTTCCAGGCCAGCTGGGGCTGCACGGAAACTGTCTCAGAAAGACACCCCCTGCCCCAACCCAAAAAGTAGCAAAGCCTCAAAGGATGAGGAAAAAACCCACTAGTTTTATAGTTTACAATGCACAACACACAAATCAGAAGTCTTGATTATCAAATACTGAGTGCTTTCTTAGTACTGAACAGTAACTATCCTAAAGTGCCCTCTATATCAAAGATGAATTATACTTAGGGCAGACTCAGTAAGGCACTTTATTGAATTCTCTATTATGAAATGGTAACCTACAATGAGAAATACCAAGGCTTGCAAAAGCAGTGGCTTACTAGATTTTGTAAGCAAATCTATATAAACCAATGCCTGTGTGTTAAGAATGTACAACTGTGGGGGCTGGAGAGATGGCTCAATGGTTAAGAGCACTGAATGCTCTTGCTGAGGACCTGGGTTCAGTTCCCAGCACCCCACGTGGTAGTTAACAACCATCTCTAACTCCAGTTCCAGGGGGATCTGATGCCCTCTTCTGACCTTGAGGGCACTGCATATGGGTCCACTTTCTTATACGCTGGCAACACACATGCACACGCACACACACACGAATGTACAATTGTAATTAAGAAGCTCTTTTAAATCAAAATAAAACACCAGAATGTTCTTGAGATAACAAAATGCACAAACCCTGGCTTTTTTTCCCAAAGGTACGAAAAATCAGTATTATTTCAACCAAACTTAATGTTTTATTCTCCCTTTAATTTTGACATTTCAACATCTAAACCATTATCATCCCAGTCACAATTTACTACAAGTTTCTCCTACTCTGCACTGCTTATTTCTCACTTTATTATACCTTAACACTTGCTTGGAACTGTTTTCCCAGACTTTATCTTCCTGACTACAAACAGGGACACGTATGCTTATATCCTTACTGCTCAAAACATTTCAGGTCCTCACATCCATTGACACAGAAAAACGATTAAGGTTATTAAAAATCAGGCTAGCCAAAGCGGTTCACACATTAATTCTAGGCCGAGTTAGGAAGACTGTCACAAATTTGGGGACAGTCTGGATTATATGGTAAAACTGTCTTAGAAAAAAAAAAAAAAAAAGGCAAAGCAAAGCAAAAATACCAAACCACTTTAAAAACTCCGAACCTAAGCTAGATGTGGTGGCTCAACTCAAGCTTGTAAGTCCAGCTGAGGCAGAAATTCAAAGCCAGCCTGTCTCAAAAAAGGCCAAACTAGAACTGGCGAGACAGCTCATTAGGGGAAAGGCACTTGCCACCAACCTTGACACTCAGGTTCAATCTTCAGCACCCACAGGGAAGTAAGGGGACAACCAGACTCACCCAAGTTACAACAGACTTTACAATAAATACATGCAATACTAATAAAACCTTTTAAATAAGTACCTGTTGATCCAACTCATCCACTATAGTAATTCTTTAAAAGGCATTTTCTCCTTTAGAATTATAAACTTGCCACCAACCTTGACACTCAGGTTCAATCTTCAGCACCCACAGGGAAGTAAGGGGACAACCAGACTCACCCAAGTTACAACAGACTTTACAATAAATACATGCAATACTAATAAAACCTTTTAAATAAGTACCTGTTGATCCAACTCATCCACTATAGTAATTCTTTAAAAGGCATTTTCTCCTTTAGAATTATAAATATCCAGTGAACTATTTTCTTACCTAATACATTGTTTGCTATTACTACCAAAAAAAACCAAAGATTTTTCAGTAAGGTACATTAACTTAAAATAAGGACCCCAAAAATGCCTTCTAAGTTAAAAAATTCAAGTTTTGTATAAACCAGAAGTTCTAGTTTAAAAAAAAAAAAATGTAATTAAGCTAGCTGCTTGGCAGTTACCTGAATAGGGGTAAGAGATGTTTTGAGTAACAAACCATGGCAGAATTGTAGCAAATAAAATCTGCCTCTTTAAAGAAGCTCAATGCTGCTTCCTACTCCCATAAAGGAAAAACAGACGAGGCAAACAAGGTACTTGGTGAGCTCAGACATTCCAGAACACATTCAGAATTTTGTATTCTTTTAAAAACAGTATTAACTATGACCTATCAGAAATACAATATTCTATATAAGGTCAAAAGATTGAAATTGTAATCGAATGAATGTTAAATTGAAAGCAAAACTTAAAAATTCTTAATACTTACAGGTCCCATAATTGTGGCTTGCCAATGAAACACTAGAAAAGGGGGGAATTAAAAAAAAAACAAAAACACCTCATTATCTCAAAACATACAACCTTTTCTGAAGATAGCCATAAAAATCAACTTAAAAGTTACTTACTATCATCTCCAACTGGACCTGCAGAACATTGTGCTGGAGGGTCACGGGCCAAATCACTAAGCTCCTAAACCAAGACAGAAAATGATAGGTGATGTAGTCTTAAGGGAAGACAACTTTTATTTTTGAAGTGATATGCAACCACAATTAAACAATTCATGCCATGGGGTACAAAACAAAAAACAAAAAACAAACAAACAAAAAAACCCCCAGAATCAACCCTAACCACAGGTCCTGGAATATGTAAGGCATTGTAGTATTTTTTTCACAGACACATGCTGAAACAATCATCTTGGCTAAGCTTCATACAAGTACCTAAATCCTTTGTTTTCCCAAACCATACCTCTATCTAAAAACCTACTGACTCCATCGTTTGTGGGAAATCTCTCATAGGGCTACTTAGTACCCTTTTCAATCTTCTGGTTAATAGGTAACTCAGCATTCGTTTTTAACTATTCAAAAAATTCAAAATTTGGAAGACTTTTCTAGGCAGAATTTTGCTTTTAACAAAACATACAATTTTTACAATTCAAAGTTTCTCTCTATGGCCTAAGTCAGTATAGACACTCCTGCCCCAAGAAAATAAAAGGTTAGCTTTAAGTTCGCTATCCTTTTTCTTATATAAATAGCCATAAGGGATAAGTCTGGGAAAAACAAAACACAGACCCAAAGAGATGTTATCACAAAAGACTAAGTACTAGACAGTAACAGAGATCTAACCAGTGGCCCACATACATGCTAAGTGCTCTAACCTCTAGTTACATTTCCAACCCGAAAGAATTTTTTATTTGTTTTGGGACAGTGTTACCCGGGTTGTTCTTACCCTTTCCTTTTGAGTAGCTAGTAATACTGATTATCTAACTTGTCCTGCTGAATGTACTAAAAAGACACACAAAAAGGATAATCTTAGCCAGTATCAACAACCTACCACAACACCAATTCATTTAATCTGTATTTACTTAATTCACTAAAACAATTTAGAAGTCAGAATATTCTGAATAACTCTTTCCCAGAAGACTACAGGAGGACAGAAGAGAAACTTTCAATTTAAATTCCAGAATAACAATTATTTTAGTCAATGTTAATTTCAGAGCATCAGTTAACAGAGTAAATAAAAAGCTGGATGATGGATGAGCAGATTGTCTCCAGAATATATATGCATATGCCATTCTACTATAGTGTCATAGAAATCCAGACTTTTCAGCTCATAGCAGTAGCTAACTAGTCCTATTTTTCATATTATATATGTAGAATTACTAAAACATATCCAGGCATATATTACTGAATCCCCATGTTATCTGATATATAAAAACCAAAAAAATTTCTAGACCTCAAGTATGGACATTTTGTCACGTACTAGAATAAACGCTTGAAGTGTAATAAAATCACATAATAGCTTTAAAGTAAACAACTCAAACATTCACATCATAGACTATTAAAAGAAAATCTAAATTTCAGTGAATTCAAAGATATTTGTAAAATGACCACTGTTACCTTGCTTTCACCTATCATACCAGCATGGCAGCACGTTTAGCCACTCTGCCCTTAGCTTTTGCTTAAGATATTAAATGCATTAAAATATGCCAGAATGCAGGCTGGAGTGATGGCTTGGTGGTTAAGAGCACTGGCTGCTCTTGCAGAGGACTGGGTCCAGTTCCCAGCACCCATATAGCAGCAAACTGCCCATAACTCCAGTTCCAAGGGGATCCAATACCCTCTTCTGGTCTATGCAAACACTGCACACATACTTAAATACAGAGGTAAAACATGCATTAAAAAAAAAAAAAATGCCAGAATGAGAACAGTAGACCTTACTGTAAATTCTGCCTTGGTTTCAGCTACTAAAGAGCTTACACACTTAATAGAATTCTCCTTAAAATATGAACTCTGAAAGATTAGCAAGCCTCAAACAACTCCTTTTTACTGCACATATAATAAGTTCAGCTATTAAGGCCCATCATCACCCAACTCCTCCAACCTATGTGAAATGTACTGTTTCTGCTGGCTACTTGGTATGTACCAACCAAGTACAATGGTACAATGTGATGGCTTCCATCATGGCTATATATGCCACTAATCCCCCAACTATGGAAGAAGAGGCAGGTAAATCTCTGAGTTGGAGGCCAGCCTGGTCCACATTATGAGATTAAGTCTTTAAAATAAATAAATAAATAAATAAATAAATAAATAAATTAAAAAAAAAGCAGAGTAATGGGTAAACATGGGAGATTGAGGAAGAAGACCCATGGTGTAACAATTTTTTTCTTGAGACAGGATATACCACACTGTAACTCAGCCTTCTAAATGTTGGGATTAAAGGTATATGCCATCATACTTGGCTTCATTTTTCTTTAAAAACACTGTTGCATATTCCTTTATTTTTATTTAATGTGTATGGTTATATTGCTTTCATGTAGGTAGGTAGGTGCACCCATGTCATGCAATACCCACGGAGGTCAGAAGAGGGGAGTCAGATCCCCTGATACTGGAGTTACAGACAGCTGCTGCCATGTAGGTGCTGGGAATCATTCCTGGGTCCTCTGCAAGAGCAGTCAGTGCTCTTAACCACCATCTCTCCAGGCCCCCTGCATATGCCTTTTTAAGTGTTAAGACTTTTGTGATTATACAAAAATCAAAGTGACTGGCCAGTTGAACATAATGCCAACTTGTGTTAGATGAGATGAAAGCACACTTTTCTTTCTGGAGGCTGAACCACTGCCTCAAATACCCGGTCAGCACTTCTCAGCCACTAGCATTATATCCCCAGCCCAAACACAAAGCTTTTCTAAGACCATTCTATAGAATATAAAACATGACTTTATATACCCTAAATCAAAATTTAAAGACAAAATCTTATTACAAATTTAGATGAACATGTTACAGTAAAGATAGTATTTTAAAAGATTTATTTGTCATGTGTGTGTACATACTTGAATTAATGTGCACCAGGTATTGAATGTGCAGGTATTCAAAGAGGTCAGAGGAAGATTTCCTAAAGCTGGAGTTATAAGTGGCTTTGAGTTGACTGACATGAGAGTATTGGGAACCTGCTCTGGCCCCCAGCAATTTTTTTTGAGGGTCTCCTTGTAGCCCCCAGCTGGCCTGAACTCACCATGTAGACCAGGTTGGCCTATGTGTTTCTCAAGCATTGGAATTAAAATCATGCACCATACACCCAGCCCAAATACTCTTAAAAAAAACATTTTTCAGAAGCACAAACACCCTTGAATCAATCAGCTGTGGTATACTAGAATAAAATCTTAATAGCTGGGGTTGGAGAGATGGCTTAGGAGTTAAAAGCAATGGCTGTCCCTGCAGAAAGAGCTGCTCTTGCAGAGGACCCAAGTTTGGTTCCCAGGATTCCGTACCCCCATATACACACCCTTAAAAAAATAATTTAAAAAATGCAATAGTTGTCAAACATGTAACGATTTAAGGCCAGGCACACCTTTAATCCCAGCACTTGTGAGGCAGAGGCAGGAAGGATCTCTGAGTAAAAGGCCAGACTGGTCTACACACTGATTTTCTGGCCAGCTGGGACTACAGGGAGATACTGGCTCAAACAAAACAAAACAAACTTTTAAAATTTAGAAAGTATTTACTGAGAGAAAATGATCATGAAGCATGCCTTCTCCTTCTAATGCTGAATACAACAACAAAACTACTAAAAACCTAGTAGCCTATATTCTTTTTGCAACTGTTATTTTAGTGTCTAAAAAACTGTAAAAGGACATAAAAGTCTCATTCTAACACTGATTTGAGACCACTAAAATTTCCAAAATCTGTTTGAAATTTCAACTTATTCAAAAACAGTTCAGCTTTTAGCAAAATGAGATAATCAAAAACAACTTAAATTGGAAGTTGTTGGGCTGGAGAGATGGCTCAGCAGGTAAGAGCACTCACTGACTGCTTTTGCAAAGGACCCAGGTTCAATTCCCAGCACTCACATGGTGGCTATGAACAGTCTTTAACTCCAGTTCCAGGGGAATTTGAAGCCTTCTTCTGACCTCCGCGGCATTGCATGACACGGGTGCACTCACACGCAGGCAATACGCTCAAACACATAAAATAAAAATACTAAAAAAAAAATTGGAAGATGTTAGCTGGGTGTGGTGGTGCATGCCTTTGATTCTAGCTAGCACTTGTAAGCAACAGCCAGGGACACAGTGAGATGCTATGTCAAAGAAAAAAACCAAAAAAACAAAAAAAACAAACAGATCTGGATGTGAGTGGGAAATATTGTATGAAATTTTAATTATAAAAATAAAAAATAAAGTAAAAAAATTCCAAAAATTGAAAGTTTTTTTTGTTAATAAAAAAAAATTACTGGCTGCTCTTTTCACAACAGCTAAGAGATGGAAGCAACCCTAAATGCCCCTCAACTGATGAATGGTTAGTGTAAATGTGGTCCATTTACACAATGGAGTGCTACTCAGCAGTAAAGATGAAATTTGCAGGTAAATGGATGGAACTAGAAACTATTCTACTAAGTATCAGACTCAGAAAAACAAAAGCTGTTACATTCTCCCTCATGTGTGGATTCTAGCACTGAATCCTCTCATAAACAAGTATCCCAGTCACCACTCATCAAAGTAGCTACTTTTTCAACAGAGGTAATTACAGAGTTGTACCACTGGTCACACAGATTCTCTGTGAATTGCCCAAGCCTAAGTGGCACATCTAGGATGTGGCACAACAACTAAGACTCACGGAACAAGCAAGGGATGAAGAGAACACTAACACATCTTCCCAGTCTCATCAATGAAGCTCCCTCATGCAACAGAGGGCCAGGAACACAAAAGGCTACAAATGGCCAAAACGCAGTCTATCAGTCTGTAGAGTGTGGGTCCTTGGACAGGGTTCCTATACTGAGGTTGGTCCACCCAAGGCTCAGGGACCATTGTGGAAGAGGGGGCAGTAAGTTTTTAAGAGTCAAGGAGGAGCTGCATGACCATACAATATAGTCCTGCAGGCACCCGGGACCTTCCTCATACAAACCTACAGCAATGGTGTCGGCGTGCACAAGACCCATGCAATCTTAGGTAGACAAAATCCCAGAACAGTGGA